GCGCATGGGCCCTTTAAGAGCCGGTTTTAATTTCTTTGTGAACCAGCTTTTCTGGGAGTACTCCCCAATGTTTTAGTGGCAGTCAAAGTCAGATATTATGCCACTCGTCTGGATTGTGCTGGGTCCACAAAATACCCACAGCGGGGGCGCTTCCTGGCTCAGGGCCCCGCTCCTCCAGGGATGGCTGCATACCATTGGGCTGCTCCCGGGCGGCCGTGAGGCGCTGCAGCTTGTGAAGGTGGCGTTTTTTCTCTCCAGAAGGGAGTTTGTGCCTCTTCTACCTCAATTGGGATTGTCCTTTGTTGCAGGAGTTCCTCTTATCCAGTTTTCAGTTCTGTCTCAGGGGTAATTTTTCCACGAGTAGTTGTAAATTGGCTGTGTCCGCGGGAGGAGGTGAGTTCAGAGTCTGCCTATGCCGCCATCTTGACTCTATCCCCTGGTTTTTTTCCTTAATGGTTACCCTGAGATTTACAATTAACATCTTAACTTTATAACAATCAAGTTTGAATTAATAGCATCTTAGTTTCAATATATAAAAAGACTGTTTCTTTACAGCTCTATCCTCTATTTTATGTTGCTGTTTTCATAAACTACATCGTTACACATTGTGTGCCCATTAGTGTAAATTTATATTTATTGTGTTATGCATTTGTCTTTTACATCATATCATAAAAAAGGGGTCACAAACCAAAAATGCAATAATACTGGCTTTTATATTTACCTCTTTACCTACCTTTGCCAGTGTTATTTCTGTGTATGGCTTTGAATTACTAATTACTGTCCTTTTATTTCAGCCTGAAGGACTCCTTTTAGTATTTCTTGTTAGACATGTCTACTAGTAACAGGCTTCCTAAGTTTTTGATTATATGGGGATATCTTAATGTCTCTTTCTGTTTTGAAGGATAGTTTTGCTGAATATCGAATTCTTGTGGACAGGTAATTTTTTCTTCCGGCACTTTGTGTATGTCATTCCACTGCTTTCTGTCTTTTGTGGTTTTGATGAGAAATCAGCTGTCAGTCTTACTGAGGTTCCCTTGTACATGATTAGTCACCTCTCTCTTGCTGCTTTCAAGATTCTATTTTTGACTTTAGCTTTCAACAATTTGACTATAATGTGTCTTGATGTGGATCTCTTTGCTTATATCCTGCTTGGAGTTTTTTGAGCTTCTTTGATGTGTAGAGTCATGCAGTTTACCAAATTTGGGATGTAATGGCCATTGGTTCTTCATGTGTTTCTTCTGCTCCTTTCTCTCTCTTCTCTCTGTATGGGACTCCCATTATGTGTATGTTGATATGCTTGAAGGTTTCCCACAGGTCTCTCAGGTTCTGTTCATTTTTCTTCAGTTTTTTTCCTCTTCCTATTCCTCAAACTATATATTTGACTTCTTTTCAAGTTCACTGATTCTTTCTTATTAAAATAAATACTATTTTTTAAAGCAGATTAATTTTTTTTCTAGCTTTCCTGTGGTCAGTGGTATCAATTGGAGCCTTACTGTGGATAATATATGTTGACAAACTTGTATGCAAGTTAGACTTTTCCCTTAACTTTCTAGAGAAATGGGCATTAAACATTTAATTTTTCCTTACTTATATACTCTTTTCTTTTTTTCTTAGCTTATTTCCAGAAAGGTTTATTGCAATATAAAAAGAATGACCAAATGTGCAAGAAAGAGCTGATGTAATAGCCCTGAGGCTTCTCTCCTTAGAAAGGCCTGCTTACAAGGTTGGCCCTTGGCTGGCATCTTGGGAACTTGGATTTTTGGAGTGTTCTCACCATTCCCTGATAGGAGTAGCTCCTTGTACCTAAAATGTTTATGCAAACAATGTAGTTTATGCTGAACACCTGCTTTCCTTTTTGGAGTCTGGAATTTGGTGTGTGCTAGGTAGAGGGTACTTGCCTATGTGACCAGCTCCTAATAAAAACTCTGGGTGCTGGGCCTCTAATGAGCTTCACTGGTAGACCACATTTCACATGAGTTGTTAAAACTCATTGCTGGAAGAATTAAGTGTGTCCTGTGTGATTCCACTGGAAGAGGACTCTTGTAAGCATGCCCCTGGTTTCCTCCAGACTTTGTACCATATGCCTTTCCTCTTTGCTGATTTTGCTTTGTATCCTTTTACTAGAATAAATCTTAGCCATGAGTATGACTATATGCTGAATTCTGTGAGTCTTTCTAGCATATCATCAAAATTGAGGGTGATCTTGGAAATCCCTGACACACCAAATGATAAGATAAATTAATTGTATAATTATATAATATGATAAATTGCAGAACTATCAAAGCAAGATATTTAGACTACTCTCTATATGATCAATGTTAGGACTGCTTTGCATCTCTTTCTTGCAAAAATTTAAGTAGACCTTACCCAAGTTTTCCACTGATTTAACCCAGGGTTCCTGGTGACTTTATGCATCTCGCAGATACAACCAGCCTGTACACCAAATGTCGGGGAAGGGTACTATTGAGTACTTCTCCCACCACCACCTATACTGAAAAGAGTTAACTGTTCATATCCTCAGCTGTCTTACCCCACTTTATTGTATCAGGGAGTGCCTGCATACTTTTCTTGAAAGGGATGTGTTAGTGACGTTGTATCAGAAAACATTGTTACTGTTCCTCTTTCAGATGCCATACATTAAAGTGTAACAAATTTATTTATTGCCATGCTGCTCACATACTACTAGAAAAACAATTCCAGAGGTTGGATGTATAAAGTAAAGGTATTCCAACCCGCCGCCATCCCACTTTATTTTAGTATCACCATTAATAATGACACTTTGTTACAAATAAAAAATCCAGGGCGAATGTCCAAATGGGTAGAAGTCTTAGACAACAGGAGTAAATAGGGGCATTTAATCACCCTAAATGTAATGGACAATCTTGAATACATTTTTCCCCTTCAGAGTGTATTTTGTAAAGTAGAATTAATGAGTCGTGGAATTTAAGAAGTTTTGTAGCTATATTTAGTATATTATCAGATATTTCACCATAAAACTGGCCTGGTTGCCATCTATGCATAAATGCTTTGTAAATATTTTTAGACTATTTTATGTGATTATGCATTATCTTCCAACTAAATTTTGACTTCTTGAGGATAAGGGTCCTGTGTTATGAATTTTTCATTTTTAAAAAATCTAACACAGTGTTTATAATGCAGTGTTCAGATCATAATATGGTTCACATATGTTGTCAAATGGCAGAGAGCAGTACTAGGATATTAGAACAGCAAATTCCTCACAACATTTTTTATTACTCAAATAATTAATATTATTTTATACTTGAAAAGTGGAATATGTGGATAAACAACAAAAAAAGGAAAAACTTGTTTCTTTCCCCATCATCAGAGGGTAACCATTGATATTTACCAGACTATTTCTTCTGTAAGAGATACTGATAATTCTTTTGAGTGATCCATAAGTAGACTATGAAGCTGGGGTGCTAGTGAACAGTGTGTTGTCAGGTTCTCTCACTGAAGCTAAGCTTCTGTCATATCTTCTGCTTAATTCTAGGTTTCTATCTTCCTACCCGTGGAAAGGTCTATATTAATGGATATGATATCTCAAAAGACATGGTTCAAGTCAGGAAAAGCATGGGCATGTGCCCCCAGGATGACATATTGTTTCCAGACTTGACAGTATCAGAACATCTCTATTTCTACTCTGTGGTGAGCCAGAGATATATTCTTTCCCCCTACTCTTTTCATATGCTTCAGGCAGTGTGACGAAGGATCAACATCCTTACCCTTATTTAGGGGAAGTTCATTTTTTTTGAGGCACTGTTCTTTTACTATAAAAGGAGGAAAAGGGAAGAAGAAATGTCTTATATCAAGATAGCTGTGTAAGAAAAGTTTTGATGTAAGAATTTTCTAAGGATAAAGCTGGAAGCACCATGTAAACTCAGGCTTCTCTTTCTAGATAAAAGGAATACCTCCCAAGGAGCGTCCCACAGAAATTAACAAAATGCTGCTTGCTTTTGGCCTGCTAGAAAAGCGTGATGCACTTTCACAGTCGCTGAGTGGAGGAATGAAGCGCAAACTCTCCATCATTATAGCACTTATAGGAGGATCCAAGGTAAAGAATGACTAACATGGATCCCTGCTCCAGCTGAAATATAAAACTCAGCTGACACAAACCTGAGAGCTGATATGAATCTAACTCCTCTAAAAGGAACTTCACAAATTATAATCAGAGGGGATTCCCATTATTGACCCAGATGCTATAATGTGGTTATGAATTTGAAAGTATTGTTAATTTTGCCGAGTTCTTAATATAGTATAATCTAGATTATGTATCTTGGCCAAAATATGTTCCCCATGAATAGTAAGTTACACCGTAAGGGGCATAGCATGAATTAAAAATGACCATGGAATTGTTCTTCTGGTCTTCAGGTGGTGATACTTGATGAGCCGACATCTGGCATGGACCCAGTCTCAAGGAGATTCACCTGGGATGTCCTTCAGCGGTGTAAACAGGATCGTACTGTCTTACTGACCACCCACCACATGGATGAAGCTGACATTCTGGGTGACCGCATAGCCATCATGGTCAAGGGATCCCTGCAGTGCTGTGGCTCTTCAGTTTTCCTGAAAAAAATATATGGTCTCTTTCCCTTTGATCATTGTTTGGATGCTAATGCCTTAATAATATTCTTCTAACATGATTTTTATTATTATTTTTGTCTTTCTACACAGATCAAAAGCTTCCTGTGTCCTATTGAATTAGGTCTAAACTATTTAAATTGGCTCTTTGTAATTTAGACATACCTGATCTATTCAATTATTTCCCATTATGACCCAATAAGTATATTCTAACTTGGAAAATACCCTTTATTGACCCCACAAAAGTCATGTTGATTTCTCTTGTGTGGCTTCTACTGATGTGGCAATTTGTTGCAGGGATGAAGTAATGCTTCCAAGGGATTTGGTACATAGATTGATGGCTTGTAGGGGAAAAAATCAGTGACTAGATATTTCTGACTCTTTTTTTTTCTCTATTTCCAAATCAGTGTCAAACCCCCAGTGTAATGAGTTAAATGCTTTCTATTTTATTTTCGTGAAATATTCCTGAAATATGGCAGTTGTTCTACAAGAATTTATTGAACAGAAAATGAATGAATAGTGGAATAAAATAGTCTTAATTTTGAGTATATAGTCTGGTTAGTCAATAAGACTAGTACATCAAAAACGAGCAATATAAAATCATATATAATCGAATTCTGAAATTACATGACTCAAACCAGTAAGTATGTCAGGCTTTGAAATTGTAGACTATGAATCAATGAGAGCAGTTAAGGACATCATTCCATTAATCTTTAAATCATTATTTGAATTCATTCATTCAACTCACATTTATTATGGGTAAGTTAGTATGTTTCGTGTTTACACACATTATCTCATCTAATCTTCATAACCTCACCATTTTTATGGAGCATAAAACTGAGGCTCATATTTAAGTAACTTATTCAAACCATGCAGTAAGTGGCAGAAATTTGGACCCGGGTCCCTCTGACACCAAAGCCCGTGCTTTGCACTCTAATATTCTACCACTTCCCTTTTACCCTTTACTCTAGCTCAAAGACAATGTTGGGCTAATTCGGTAAATAGGAAATTTAGCGAATGTCGGAAGTAGAGGAAATCATACTGTTGAATGCCTTTTCATTTACAAATGAGGATATAGAAGTTAACATTCCTATAGTAGGTTAGTTGTAGACACAAAATTATTACCAAGGTAGATTGATTATCCATAGAGTGCTTTCAGTTACAGACCTTAAAAAAGCAATGGAGGAAAAAAAACACATTTTTTTAGGAATGTGGGTAACAAGTAAGTAAGTAAAAGTATTAGGATAAAAATGGGCTTTTTTTCCCCCGGGACGATGAGTAAGTCAGCCTGGATCAGAAGGTTTTTTGGGAGGATCAATGAGATATTAAATCTGATGGATAGGGTAGAAAATGGAAGGGCACTGAAAACAGCAAGAGTGGTTTTCATTTGATGTACGAATGCACATATAAGATGAACTTAGAAGGAAGCGGGGAGGGAGGAGGGCGAAAGAGGTGATAAGGCATGTGTACGATGACGGATGGTAATTAAACTCTGGGTGGTGAATATGATGTAGTCTACACAGAAATCAAAATATAATGATGTACGCCTGAACTTTATGTAATGTTATAAACCAATGTTACTTCAATAAAAATAAATATGGAATTCAGAAGCCCCATTCCAGGATATAGCCGTAAGCCAGTTTAAAGTGATGAATGCTGAAATAAGAATAACGGCAACAATACAGGAAAAATAAGTATGTGTGTGTATATATATACACACGTGTGCACAAATACACACATACACATGCGTGTGTGTGTATAAAATCCTGACAGGATCAGTCAGAAATACTTGGTGACAGAAGTCCATGTGGTCCATTGTCATATGACGAAAGGAAGAGTTCTTAGTACAGTGAGGTGAAATTTTGCACTTTTCATTCATTAATACAGTGAAGTAGAAGTTTCCATTTTAATGACATGTCCTGAAATGTGGCAAGTGAACATTAAGTATTTAAAGGATGATAGAAGGAAAGAAGTCCAAAAAGATATAAAATAATAAAACTTTAACAAGTTTAAATTTTGGTAAGAATATGAAACTAGTATATCCCAAAGATTAGAGCCAGGAACTGACTAAGAGAAATGAGTTAAAGGTAATTTGAAGACCATTTGCTCTTAAGCACAGTCATGATGCCGCTTAAAAATGAAATTTTTAACAGACAAGAGCCTAGGGTTTTTTTGGGGGAGGGGGGCGGGTAGAGTATGTTTAACTTGGGCAGATTGCATTTTAAAAATTTTGGTCTTCTAAATGGATCTTTGCAGGTGTGGGATACCACATAATTATGGTGAAGGAACCTCATTGTAATGTTAAAGAAATTACCCGACTGATTAATCATCATATACCAAGTGCCAGACTGGAGAACAATGTTGCAGCTGAATTATCATTTATTCTACCCAAAGAGTACACACACAGGTATAGATCAGAGAATGTTATATAAGTAGTTTTGGGTTACCAGAAATAACTATTACTTTTCCAGGTTTCCTCATATTCAGCAAATAGATTGTTTCTAGTTGCCAGTTGACAAGTAATAGTAAAAAAACTTACTTTCTGAAGATTTCACTCTTAGTACAGAGGGTTGCCACATAAGTTAGATTTCATTTGGCTTGTCTTGATGTTTTTATTTCTATTTCTTATAGCTTGATGCTAATTAGTGATAAGATATGTAAATGATTGGCACAAATTTTCTTCTTGGTGAGTTAAATCAAGTGAGTTATTAAGATAATAAGAGAAAAAGTGGCCTGTAAGGCAGCTCTTGGGGCCAGGAGCCCTAGAAACCAGAGGAAATGGGCAGTTTGACCACAACAGTTAACCATGTTAGTTATCAAAGGGAGAAACAAGGAATAATAATTGTACCTAGAATCTTTATCTTAACTAAGGGAACAGGAAAATAAGAGTCCTCATCATAAATTTTCAAGGTTTGTGCCAATTTCATTTGCAAGGTATAATTACTATCCTGATAGTCCCTTGAAGGAAGCTGGTTGGCATTCTCAAAAGAAGATGAATAGTGGGGAACTTCAACTTTATAAAGAGTGTCTATAAAAAACCTACATTTAACATCATACTTAATGGTAAGAAACTCGAAGCTTTGCCATTAAGATCAGGAACAAGGCAAGGAAGTCCTTTCTCACCACTCCTTTCAGCTGGAAGTCCTAGCTAATGCAATAAGACAAGACGAGGAAATGTACATAGATTGGGAAGGAAGAAATAAAACTGTCTTTGTTCACATATAACATGAATATCTTATGTAGAACATGTAAAAGAATTGACAAAAAAACTTCTGGAACTAATAAGTGATTATAGCAAGGTTGCAGGGTACAAGGTTAACATACAGAAGTCAATCACTTTCCTATGTATCAGCAATGAACAAATGTAATTTGAAATTATAAACACAATACTATTCCATTAGCACCTCCAAAAATGAAATACTTAGGTATAAATCTAACAAAATATATATAAGTTCTATATGAGGAAAAGTATGTAACTGTGATGAATGAAGTCAAAGAACTAAATAAATGAGGAAATATTCCATGTTTATGTACAAGAAGACTCAATATTGTCAAGATATCAGTTCTTCCCAACTTGATCTATAGATTCAATGCAATCCCAGTCAAAATGCCAGTAAGTTATTTTGTGGATATTGACAAACTGATTGTAAAGTTTATATAAAGAGGCAAAAGACCCAAAATAGCCAACACAATGTTGAAAGAGAAGAACAAAGTTGGAGGACTGACACTAAACAACTTCAAGACTTACTATGAAGCTACCATAATCAAGACAGTGTGGTATTACTGAAAGAATAGAAAAATAGATCAATGGAACAGGACAGAGTCCAGAAATAGACCAACATAAATATAGTCAACTGATCTTTGACAAAGGAGCAAAGGCAATATAGTGGAGAAAAGTAGTCTCTTTAACAAATGATGCTGGAACAACTGGACATTCACATGCAAAAAAATTAATCTAGACACAGACCTTACACCCTCCACAAAAATTAACTCAAAATGGATCATAGGCCTAAACGTAAAATGAAAAACTATAAAACTCCTAGAAGATAACATATGAGAAAAACTAGATGTTCTTAGGTATGGCAATGACTTTTTAGATGCAATACCAACAGTATGATCTGTGAAAGAAATAATTGAAAAGCTAGACTGTTAAAATTAAAAACTCTGCTCTGTGAAAGATAATATCAAGAGAAATAGAAGACAAGCTACAGACTGAGAGAAAATATTTGCAAAATACACGTCTGATAAAGGATTGTTATCTAAAATATACAAAGAACTGTTAAAATGCAACAATAAGGAAACATACAAGCAGATTTAAAAACAGGCCAAAGACTTTAACAGACATCTCACCAAAGAAGATATGTGGATGGCAGATAAGCATATAAAAAGATATGCTCCACCTCATATGTCATCAGGTAAATGCAAATTAAAACAACAATGAGATGCCACTACACACTGATTAGAATGGCTAAAATCTGGAACACTGACAGCACCAAATGCTGGCAAGGATGTGGAGCAAAAAGAACTCTCATTTATTGCTTGTGGGAGTGCAAAATGGTATGGCCACTTTGGAAGACAGTTTTGTGGTTTCCTACAAAACTAAACATACCCTTGGCATATGATTCAGCAATCATGCTCCTTGGCATTTATCCAAAGGAGTTGAAAACTTGCACATGGATGTTATAGCAGCTTTATTCATAATTGTGAAAACTTGGAACAAGCAAGATGTCCTCAGTAGGTGAATGGATAAATAAACTGTAGTACATCCAGACAATGGAATATTACTCAGCATTAAACAGAAATGAGCTATCAAACCACGAAGAGACATGGAGGAACCTTAAATATATATTACTATGAAGCCAGTCTGGGAAGGCTACATACTATATTATTCCAACTATATGACATTCTGGAAAACGCAAAAATATGGAGACAATAAAAAGATCAGTGGTTGCCAAGGGTGTAGGAGGGATGAGATGAATAGGCTCAGAAGATTTTTAGTGCAGTGAAAATACTCTGGTATAATGATAGATGTGTCATTATACATTTGTCCAAACCCATTGAATGTACAACACCAAGAGTGAACCCTTAGGTAAACTACGGACTTTAGGTGATTATGATGTGTCAATGTAGGTTCAGCCTTGGTAAAAAATGTACCATTCTGGTGAGTGATGATAATAGGGTGTCTAGGTAAGTGTGGGAGTAGGAGATATGTGAGAAAGCTCTGTACCTTCCTTTCAACTTTAATATATACCTAAAACTGCTTTAAAAAAATAAAGCATTAAAAAAATGACTCAAGAAAAAATTAAAAATCTGATTAGACCTCTCACAAATAAAGAGATTGAATTAGGAATCAGAAAGAAAAGACTAGGTTCAGATGGCTTCAGTGGTGAGTTCTACCAAATGTTTAAAATAAAAATTAATACCAATTTTCTACAAACTGTTCCAAAATAGGAGAGGGAACACAACCTATTCTGTGAGGCGAGTGTAACCCTATAATAAAACCAGACAAAGACAAAGAAAAGAAAACTACAGACCAACATCATTTTTGAATAGAGGGCAAAAAACAACAACAACAACAAAAAACCAATGTGTTATCAAAACTAATCCATAAGCGTGTAAAAAGGATTATGCACTATGACCTAGTCCCATTTACTCCAGGAGTGCAAGGTTGGTTCAATGTGCAAAAATTATCAATGTAAAACACCATATTAATAGAATAAAGGACAAAACTACATGATCATCTCAATAGGTGCAGAAAATCCATTTGACAAAATCCATACCCTTTTATGATAAAAACAGTCAACAAACTAGAAATAGAAAGGAACTTTCTCAACCTGATAAAAGGCATCTATGAAAAACCCACAGCCAACATCATATTTAATGGTCACTCCTTAGAATATAGTAGAGATAGGGTCAAGAACTGAATGGGTTTCTGGGGTACATGAACTTCTAAACCAGAGGAACTGAGAAATCTGAGCAGAACTATTCTTCAGCATCCTTAATGGCACCACATCACATCTGCCTGAAATGGCACAGAACTTCCCTGGTTATGAGAGTGAACAATTCTCTTTCAGTCCCTAGTTTCCATTATTCTTCATTTTCTTATTTGAGTGTCTTCTGCTTCTTATTAATTTGAAAACATTTTTTCTCTTTGATTTAGTGTTTCATAGAAACTATAGCATCTATTAAATAAATCTTAACTAGTGATGACTGTCATTTGATGCTTTTATCAGAAAACCAAGAAGCAGTTTGTGATAGTAATTTGCTAGCTTTTCTCTTTATATCGTCCACATTTCTGATTTCTCAGGGGTATGGAAACTATAACGTGCACTGCAGTGAAGAATGAGCTACGTTTTCCCCTCTGCTGAAGGAAATTCATTGGGAACAAAAAATATTAATATGAAAACCATCTGTTTTGGTGCTAGCTCTTTCTCTCCTTCTTCTTCTAGGTTTAAAGACCTGTTTACTGAGCTGGAAGATAGACAGGAAGAGTTGGGCATTGCTAGCTTTGGTGTCTCTATCACTACCATGGAAGAAGTTTTCTTTATGTAAGTAATGATGCAAGGGGGGCAGGAGAGAAAAAAATCTCTTCCTCTAAAATCAGATTTGACGGGCCGGCCCCATGGCGTAGCGGTTAAATGCGCGTGCTCCACTGCTGGAGGCCTGGGTTCGGATCCCAGGCGTGCACCAACGCACTGCTTGTCAGGCCATGCTGTGGCGGCATCCCATATAAAGTGGAGGAAGATAGGCATGGATGTTAGCTCAGGGCTGATCTATAAATATAAATAAAATAAAGTTGTTGATAGCTTTAAAAAAAAATCTCTCGCACACAAAAAAACTAGAAGTACAGTTGGCTTTACTGGTGAATTCTGCCAAACATTTAAGAGGGAAAAAATATCAATTCTATAAAAACTCTTCCAAGGCATTGAAGACAAGGGAATACCTGGCAACTCATTCTATCAGGTCAGTATTATCCAGATACCAAAACTAGACAAAGATATTACAAGAAAAGAAAATCACAGACCAATGTCTCTCATGAATATAAATGCAAAAATTCTTAACAAAGTTTTAGTAAATCAAATTCAACAATGTGATAATAAAATAAAATTGATAATACATCATAAATAAATGGGGTTTACGCCAGAAATGCAAGATTGATTCAACATTTTAACATTCAAAAATCAATTGTAGTTTCAGTCGATCAATGTAGTTTACCATTTTAAGAAACTAAAAAGGAAAAGCCACTTAATCTTCTCATTAGATGCCGAAAAAGCATTTGGCAAAATCCCACATCCATTCAGAATAAAAACTCTCATTAATACAGTCCTGTGCAGCATAATGACATTTCAATGATGGAGCATATACGACTAGTGGTCCCTATCATAAGATTAGTACCATATAGCCTAGGTGTGTAGTAGGCTATACTTTCTAAGTTTGTATAGGTACACCCTTATGATGTTCATACAATGATGGAATTGCCTAATGACACGTTTCTCAGAAGCATCCCGTCATTAAGCGACGCATGACTATATGGTAACGGAAGGGATCTTTCTCAAACTGATAAAGGGCATCTACAAAAAACCTACAGTTAGCATCATACTTACTGATGAAAAACTGAATCCTTTTTCCCTAAGTTCAGAAACAAGAAAGGGATGTTCCTCACCTCTTATATTCAAGATTTTACTGGAAGTCTACCCATTGCAGCAGGATAAGAAAATGAAATATCCACAAGTCAATTGTTTTCCTATATATTATCAAGGAACAATCTGAAATTGAATAGAAAAACAATGCAATTTTCAATAGCATCAAAAATATGGAATACTTAGGGATGAATCTGACAAAAGATATATAAGATCTATACACTAAAATGTTACTGAGAGAAATTAAAGACGACTGAAATAAATGCAGAGATATACTGTGTTCTTCAGTCAGAAGACTCAATATTTTAAAGACGTAAATTCTCTCCAAATTGATCTATAGTTCCATGCAATCACAATCACACCAGAAGGTGTTTTTGTAAAAATTGATCAGCTGATTCTAAAATTTCTATCCCAGTACAAAGGACTTAGCATGGGCAAAATAACTTGGGCAATGCTTATCCAGTGTTGTGCTAAATGAAATGGAAAGAGAAATTCTCAAATCCTGCTGATTATACAGTGAGTTAGTTCTACTGCATTGGTGAATAACATGGCAACATGTAGTAAGTTGCAAATACCCACTTTCCACAACCTAGAAATTCCACTGTTAGGTATATAATCTAGAGAAACACTCACATATTTGCTCAGAAGACAGATATTCATTGAAATATGTAATAGCAAAAGATTAGAATAAATAATATATTGTATTAATAAAATATGATACCTATGTAATGAAATACTATATATATCAATTGAAAGGAATGAATTAAATTTCTCTTTATACAAATGTCAACATGGAGATATGTAAAACATCTAATCTTTTAGAGGAAAAAAAGGATTTTGCAGGACTGTCTGTTAAATATACCACTTATATAAAACATTAAACCCATAAACATAAACCATGTTTATGGATACATAAATGTGTATACAAAAGTATTAAAATTGGGCCGGCCCCGTGGCTTAGCGGTTAAGTGCGCGCGCTCCGCTGCTGGCGGCCCGGGTTCGGATCCCTGGTGTGCACTGGCGCACTGCTTCTCCGGCCGTGCTGAGGCCGCGTCCCACATACGGCAACTAGAAGGATGTGCACCTATGACATACAACTATCTACTGGGGCTTTGGGGGGAAAATAAATAAATAAATAAAATCTTCAAAAGTATTAAAATGTATCTTATTTCTCCACTGTAAATTAATTTTTCTCCGCATTCTGAACTGTATTCTTTGGAAGCATGTCACTAGACATAGCCCACACTCAAGGGGAGGAGGGATTGAGCACCCTGGAGGGAGTAGTATCTACAAATATTATTTGGAATTTTGTAATGAAGATTTGTCTCTCTCCTCCATTTATTCATTCAATCCCCTAGTTATATCAATATGGACTCATGGAATACTACCTTGGCCAGGTGATCAAGGTGGTAGTTCATCCCAGTGATATTTCATGTTAATATCATGTACTCCCTGATACGGCATGGGGAAGAAAGCACTTCACCTGTGTGATATTCTTCTCCAAAAGCTATAACCCCAATCTAACCATGAGGAAAACATAAGACAAACCCAAATTGAGGAACATTTTACAAAATACCTGATCAGTACTGCTCCAAACTTCTAAGGTCATGAAAAACATGGAAAGTCTAAGAAACTGTCATAGACCAGAGGAGACTAAGGAGACATAATGACTAGATATAATGTTAGGTATGCTGGATGGGGTCCTGGAACAGAAAATGGACTTTAGTGGAAAAACAGGTGAAATCTGAATAAAATGTGGAGTTTAATTAATAGTAATTTGCCAATGTTGGTTTCTTAGTTGTGACAAATGTACCATGGTAATGAAAGATGTTAACAATAGGGGAAACTGAGTGAGGGGTATACAGGATCTCTGTACTATCTTTGCTACTTTTCTGTAAATCTATTCTATAATTAAGTTTATTTAAAAAATATATCTGGAAGGTTACATACCAAATATCATAGCTGGCTTGATGGAAGGATTGGGGAGAAATGGGATTAAGAATCTTGTTTAAGGTGATTTAAATTTATTTGTAATATATTTTTTAAATTGGCTCAAGGTAACAAAATGTTGAAAGTGGTTGATTCTCTGAGTTGCAGAAATGGGTGTTTTCTTAAATTTATTCTTTTTCCGTACAGAAACTGTAAAGGAAAATATTTTGCTAAATAAAATTTAAACATTTTGTATATCAGAGAATACTTTAACAGATTTAAAAGACAAATGACACAGAGGTTAATTATAGTAAGTAAGAATGTCTTCTAAATCAAAAAGAAAAATATGAAAACGGTGTAAAATTAGACAAGTGATAAAAACTGATTCACAAAAGAATAACTAGAAATGGTCAACTTAATTCAAAGGAATTAAAAATAAAACAGCAAATATTAAAGAAAAATACTCAGTCTTGGTGAATACGTAGTGAAATAGGAAGATCTTGTAAACTGACATGGATATGTAAATTAGTATACTCTTTCAGAAGGGCAATTTGGCAAGATATATAAGGAGCTTTAAAATGTGTAGATTCTACATCTGAAATTTTGTCCTTTGTGGATAGCAATATATGTGGAATAGTGTTCGTCACAGCATTGTTTATAATAATAAAAAGTTAAAGCAATCTAAATAAGTAATAGGCCAATAAACTGTGGCGCATCTGTACAATGAAATGAAATTCAGTCATTAGAAGTGAGGATGTGGGCCGGCCCCATGGCTCAGCGGTTGGGTGCGCGCGCTCCGCTGCTGGCGGCCCGGGTTCGGATCCCGGGCGCGCACCGACGCACCGCTTCTCCGGCCATGCTGAGGCCGCGTCCCACATACAGCGACTGGAAAGATGTGCAGCTATGACATACAACTGTCTACTGGGGCTTTGGGGGAATAAATAAATAAATAAAATAAAATAAAAAAAAGAAGTGAGGATGTAAGTATATAGATATTGAAATGAATATATATTAATAATTTAAAAAGCAAGTTGCATAACAATGTAGTATTATTGTATGATCCTAATTTTGCAATTTGTGTGTGTATGTATATATTTATGCCTGTGTATATGTAGGTATAGAAGAATGTCATTTGAGTACATCTGAGTATTGAGATCTTGAGTATTTTTTTCTTTTGGTTTATTATATTTTTAAATCTTATCCCACTGAGTATTGCTTACAAGTGTATAAAAATCTAATAAAGAAGTTAGAAAAAAAGTAGCAGAAAAAACCATATTTGTCTTCAGTGTATCAATTACTGTAGTATTGCAGTGACCAGACATGGTACAAATACTGCCTTGAATATAAAAGAATTTGATAACAATAATTCCAGAGTTATCAAATCAAACCAGTACTTTATGCTTGTTTTGTTGTCCTGCTAAAAGAAAGATTTTAAAAAGGCTTGCTAGTTCATTGGTTTAGAAAGAAAAATCTATCTTTACAAATTATAAATTTTTCATCAAGGGTTACAGAACTCCCAGGGGTGGACTTAAGGTCTCAAATTACCCATTATAGTACTATGATTTCTATTATTCTGTTTATCGTTGTCTCCCTTATATTAAAATTAAATATATATGTCTACGAATGAACACATAGTTACAGAGAACAGATTGGTGGTTACCAGAAGGAAAGGGGGTGGGGGGAGGGTGAAGTGGGTAAAAGGGGTCATTGGTATGGTGACGGATGGAAACTAGACTTTTGGTGGTGAACATGATGTAGTGTATACAGAATTCGAATTATAATGATGTATACCTGAAATCTATATGTTATAAACCAATATAAAAAAATTTAAAAGAAAAAAATATTATGTATATATGTCTGTTTGTCCCGTGTAGTTGTGAGCCCTTGGAGGACAAATTAACTATGTCTTCATTTTCTTTGTAAACTATTCCAAATATTTAGATGGCCTGGTGCAGAAAATTGAGAAAACAAATCTATTGGACTGACATAGGCTTAGACACATTATAAAAATAAAACCCTGCTATCTATTATCACTGTCATTTCTTAAAATAAAAGAGATTTAACAGCCCCTCTCTCCTAAAAAAAGATATTGTCTTAGAATTTTAACTTAAGTTCAGTTCATTTTATTCAGTGTTAATGTTAACATTGTATAACCATGCTTGTTTTTTTAAATTCTTGCCTCAATTTGTGAAACTCTTGCCATGGACTGAGTACCTAGGCACCACTGTTCTGGTTAAAATGAATTTTTGTCTGTCTGTGTAGGGCCACTAAAGAGGATAATCAAGCTCTCCAGACCCCTTCCCAAAAGGACAAAAACAGAAAAGAAGACATGAACCAGAATATGAATGTGCCCAGAAATTTTGAGAGATCAAATTCTTCCAGCTCGAGTGAACACTCAAATATTAGGTTTAATACTGGGGTGAGCATCTTCGCTATGAATATACTGCTGGCTTATGTTTGGATGGGATAAAAGAGATACATTTCATTTTAATACTTGAATTCAAAGGAGAGTTTGGGGTTCTTAGCCAGAGAAGGCCAAGTAGGGAATAGTCGTTAAAGCAATCCAATTAATTTTCTAATTTAAAAGTGAAATATGATAGGTAAAAGTCACATTTTTCACTCACCATTGTTATTCCTCAGAGTTGCTTATCTCAGTTTTCAAAATTGTTAGTTCATTCAGAGTTGAGAAAGTGTCCCAGTAAAAGTTATCACTACTCACACACATAAAAGACATTTAAATTTATGCATTGGAATGCATTGGTACTTACTAATGGATTATTCCCAAGTCAGTATGTGCCTTCGTTAGCATGGGGAATCTCATTGGATTGCCAAGCATTTCCTTCATTGTTCTCTTGTCGTCTCTTCCCTACAATTTTCCGTAATAAAAACTAGGGCTTCTGAGGTGGAAGATATATTTCTCAGAGTTGCCCATAAGCATGCCTTCACTGAGGGACTTATGAGCCAGTTGTGAAGCAGAGTGGGTGTTATACAACCAGTGTAGAATTTTGAGCCAGATAGAACTAAAATTCTTGCTCTATCATTTATTACTACTTGACCTTGACCAAGTCATTTAACATCATCTGTGCTTCAATTTCATTCTCTATTTTAATGAGTTAACACTAGTAAAATGTGAAATGTATAATGTTTGGCATGAATCAGATACTTAAGAAATGTAGTTTTCCTCCTCTTCTTGCTCACGCATTTCTCCTACTATATTACTTTTCCCTATTTCCCCCTCTTATAAAGATGCAGATGAAGGAAGATTTGCAGGCCAGTCTAGAAAAGTAGATTTTCACATTAACTTATTCTTTTATTCTAGAAATAGATCTAATAACCCATCTTTTAAAAGCCAGAAAGCACTTTTTCCTACCTTGAAGACAATGTGAGAAAAAAAAAACTTGACCTTATTTCTAGTCAGAGACAATATCCAAATCCTGATAGTTTTATTCCAGAAATATTGGTTTATTGATTAGGGATATTTTCTCACAATGAATTCTGGGGTGTCCAAAATGTTGGGAAATATAGGATGAACATGTTTTTAAACTATCAGTTACATAGTCAAGTAATATGCTCTATATGCTTTTCTTCAACATTCAGACACCTTTCCAGGTGAAGTTTCTACATTTAAAGCAACAGGTTCCATTGTTAATCTGAAAAAATATACAATAAATCAACTACAAATGGGCCAAAAAGTCTGAAAAAGTAAAGAAAATAGTATATTTGTGTACATTTTTCAAATTAACATTGGACATAGTGCTTTAAATTTAGAAGTTGAAGAAAAACACACTGAGCATGTTATTGCAGTTTAAAAATAAATTCATCTTCTGTTTCTTGACTATCCACAAACCTATAGATCACGTGGATTAAAAGCTAGCTATGGAAATTTGTTACATATGCACATTTTATGGGAAAGTTTCATTTATAAAATAGAGATAGTATGGAAAGATCAAGGTTTAATATTAACAAAGAAAGATGGATGTGATGTTGTTCTGCTCAGAGATGCTATGAATATATTAGTAATAAAAATGATCCTTTTGAGGTTTTCAGTATAATTAGATTAGAAGCCACGCTTTAATCCTGTCAGTCAACACATTATACAAATGTGAAGTTTTGCTTGTTACCTAGTCTGCTAACTATGGCTATGTTCTGTTTAAGGATATATTTGTAGGGCCGGCCCCGTGGCTTAGCGGTTAAGTGCATGCGCTCCGCTACTGGCGGCCCGGGTTCCGATCCTGGGCGCACACCGACCACCGCTTCTCCCGTCATACTGAGGCCGCGTCCCACATACAGCAACGAGGAGGATGTGCACTATGACATACAACTATCTACTGAGGCTTTGGGGGAAAAAAAGGAGGAGGATTGGCAATAGATGTTAGCGCAGAGCTGGTCTTCCTCAGCAAAAAGAGGAGGATTAGCATGGATGTTAGCTCAGGGCTGATCTTCCTCACAAAAAAAAAAAGGTTATATTTATAAAAGTGTGTACATCTTCCACCATAAGATTCAAAACATTAATGTTAATGAATTTTATTAAGGTTTATGACCATTGTAATGACATCTGTCTCTCCTCTTGTCAGTGTACTCTTTACTGCCAGCAGTTCTTTGCTATGTTCTTAAAGAGGGCAATGTTCACTTGGCGCAACTGGAATTTGGTGTTGCTGCAGATACTGGGACTTCTGGGTATCGTTTATTTTCTGATGAGAGGTGTGAGGATTTTAAGACGTACTGATGAACCTGCCAGGGAAATGGATTTGGAACAATATGGTCAAACCATTGTGCCTTTCTCAATTACTGGAAATTCTGACTTTACTCGGAATTTCAAAAACAATCTTGAGATCATGCTAAAGGCTAAGAAACAAAAACCTCAGGAAGTGAAAGGTAAGGCTCTTAGAAAAATAAAATGACTGCTAGTAGATGAAGACCTGCTTGTGTCACTTCCAAAGACAGGGCTTAACTGGAATAGTTAGCTACTTGCTCTCTCTCTTTCTTTTTTTTTTTTTTTTTGATAGTCGCCAATCTCATAAAGGAAGCCAAATCAGAGGCAAGAATCATCCTTCAAGGCTGCTGGCCATAAAGTTAATTATTAATGGAGGCACTTTGAACGTGGGTCATTTACCAGCCATTTGCTACACCTTCTAGGGAATGGATTAAAGTACCAAAATATTTTGTTTTGTAAAATTTAGCACAGAATTTCACATAAAACCAGGCTCACAGTGTGGTATCATGGTCCAAATCCTGAAAGGCTTCCCACAAGTCTCCTGGATTGGCCATATCTAAAAACAGATAAACAGGTTAGGCTGAAGTCTTTATAGGGAGGCTACTCAGAACTTATTTATTTGAGAGAGAGTAGTAGTAATTGATTATATGTATTGAGCATATATTTTTGGCAGGAAATTTTCTAAGTACTTGAATTACTTCACTTAATTTCTATAACAATCATATTTTCTAAAGTTTGGGACATTCAGGTTTGGAGATGTTAAGTATGCCCCAAATCATGCATCTGGTATGTATTAGAGCAGGGACTGGATTTTAACACTGCCTGGTGGGAGTCTGCAATATTAACCCACTCACTACACTAAATTACCTCTGTAAGAGGCAAGTCTTTCCTCTTTCAAGACTGATCATTTCCTTCCAGGTGCTTCATTTGTATTTTCTTCAGCTGCTGTCTGTTTGACAGGGTTACTTTAGGTTAGCATACAGCCCGTGCAGTTTGGCAGGTTGTTTTTCTTTTATCCTTTAGATTCCATTGTGAGAGATGAAAATGCAGTTGGAAATGTTGGTTATTACTTCTACCATTGTCCTGATTTTACAGCATATACATCATAGGCTGGGTGGCCTAAAAACTGTCAGTGAACTACATATTCCTTTTCCTCCTCCATTACAGGAGCACTAGATGAACAATTATTCGTCAAAGATCATGTAGTTGTTTAGAAGAGAAGAGAGAGAAAATGAAATTCCCTGATTTATAATGTGGTTCCTTTTCTACTATGTTATATTGTTTATACAAAAATAAAAAGACTAGGGGCTGGCCCGGTGGCACAAGCAGTTAAGTGCACATGCTCAGTTGCAGCGGCCCGGGGCTTGACGGTTGGGATCCCAGGCACGCACTGACGCACCGCTTGGCAAGCCATGCCGCGGCGGCGTCCCATATAAAGTGGAGGAAGATGGGCATAGATGTTAGCCCATGGCCAGTCTTCCTCAGCAAAAAGAGGAGGATTGGCAGATGTTAGCTCAGGGCCGATCTTTCTCACACACACACACACAAAAAGACTATACTTCACAGATATATAAATAGAAAGACTATCAAATTAAATCTTCCTTTTTGTTTGTTCTTTGAGCATCTTGGAATTGTCTTAATTAAAAATTATTTAAGCAGCTCTTTGAGAAAGATGGTGGAATAGGAAGACTCAAGCCCTTGTTCTCCCATAGAAATATCTAGTAAACAACAACAGACTAGCTTAAATAGCTTTGAATAGAAAGCAGTCAAAGGTCTACACCAAAAAAGTGAATGTCCAGTCCAGAAAAAGCTACACTCAAAATGGAAGGTAATTTTCTGGTGTTTTTTTCTCACCCTTGCCCCACCCCCCTTTCTAGGGCAGCACAGTGAGTTGAGAGGAAGCAACCCAATTCCTGGTTCCTCCCTTGGCATGGAAGGAAAAGAGTAGAATTTATTTTTGCAATATTCAGGCCTATTAGGGGGCTGTGCAAAGGACTGATTTTGGTTTTACTTGACTCAGAACTCAGGTGGGAATAGTGGCATAGTTTGGATATGATGTTAGAGGTTTCTGAAAGCAGTGACAATTGCCAAGGTGTGTGAAAACTCCAAGGGGGACTGCGGACATGTGGGCATCAGGGAAAAGAGATTATGAGCAGCAGAATATAGTAGAACATCTAAGGCCCCAAGAGGAAGCAGAGGTGAAACTCACAGGGAAATTAAGACATTTAAAATCAGCCATATATACTGGAGAACTGGGGGAAAAAGCATATACACAGGCCCAAGGAAGACAGATGCCCAGAAAAAGTTTGAGAAGACCTTAAGCCTTCATGCTGGGCTAATTAGTAAAGGTCTCTCTCTCTCTGGATGGATGCAGTCTGTTTTTTCAAATGCCCAATTTTCAACAAAATATCACAAGGCATATAAAAAAACAGGGAAACACACTCCATTCAAAGGAAGAAAATAAATCTCCAGAAACCAACCCTAAAAAAACACAGTGCTTGGATTTACAGGACAAAGATTTTAAAGCAACTATCTTAAACATGCTCAAAAAGGTAAAGGAAGCATGGACAAACAACTAAAGAAAATAAAGAAAACGATATATGAACAAAGTGAGAATATTAATAAAGATGGAAATTATAAGAAAGAACCAAACAGAAATTCTGGAGCTAAAAAATGCAAAAACTGAATTGAAAAAATCACTGTTGGGGTTCAGCAGCAGACTCGAGAAATTTGAAGACAGATCATTTGAAATTATTGAGTCTGAGGAGCAAAAAGAGGATGACAATGTAAAAAATTAACAGAACCTAAGGGACTTAGGTACATCGTAAAACAGACCCAGATACACATTATGGGAGTCCTAGAAGTAGAAAAAAATAGAGAAAGGAGAAGAGAACTTATTTGAAGAAATAATGCTGAAAACTTACCAAATTTGAGGAAAGACTTGGATGTACTAATACAAGAAGCTCAACAACCTTGATGTAGGGTAACCCCAGAGAGACCTACACCAAGACACACCACAATCAAACTGTCAAAAGACAAAGAATCTTGAAAGCAGAAAGAGAAAAGCAACTCACAAGCAATCTTTGATGAGATTATCAGAAAATTTCTCTGCTAAAACCTTACAGGCCAGAAGGCAGTGGGATGATGTATTTAAAGTGCTGAAAGCGAAAAAGTGTCAACCAAGAATTCTATATTCAGTAAAACTGCCTTTCAAAACTGAAGGAGAAAGTAAGACATTCCCAGATAAAAGCTGAGGGAGTTAGTTACCACAAGACCTGCCCTACAACAAATTCTAAAGGTAGTCCTTCAATGTGAAATGAGGAGTTATTATCACTAGATAATAACTTAAAGGCATATGAAAATATAAAGTTCTCCAGTAAAACCAAATGTAAAAGCCAGTATTATTGCAATTTTTATTTATAACTCTGCTTTTTTCCTGAAGAACTTAAAAGACAAAAGATTAAAATTAAGTATAAACCTATGTTAATGGATACATAATATGTAAAGATGTAATTTGTGACATCAATAACATAAAGTGGGGGGCAGATCTGTGAAGGATTAGAATTTTTGTATGATTGAATTAAGTTGATATCAGTTTAATATAGATGGTTATAATTTTAGAATGTACTGCTCAAGGTAAATGGAAGGAAAATATCTGTAGAGTATATACAAAAGGATATGAGAAGGGAATCAAAAGTGCCACTATAAAAAAATCAACTAAACACAAAAGAAATCAGTGATGGAGGAAATGAGGAAAAAGCTACAAGATATGTAGAAAACAAATAACAAAATAGAAGTAATAAGTCCTTCTCTATCAGTAATTACTGTAAATGTAAATGGATTAAATTTCCCAAATAAAAGACATAAATTGGGAGACTGGATTAAAAAAAACCAGGATCTAACTATGTGTTACCTACAAGACACTCACTTTAGGTCTAAGGACACACATAGGTTGAAAGTGAGAGAATGGAAAAAGATACTCCATGCAAATAGTAACCAAAAGAGAGCATGTATACTAATATCAGACAAAATAGACTCTAAGTCAAAAAGTGTTACAAGACACAAAGAAGGACATTATCTAGTAGTAAAAGGGGCAAATCACCAGGAAGATATAAGAATTATAAACATATATTCCACAGATATCCTAATCATATGAGGCAAACATTGACAGAATTGAAGAAAGAAATAAACAAACAGCTCTATAATAATAGTAGGAGACTTCAATACCCTACATTCAATGGTAAATAGAACAACCAGACAGAAGATCAATAAGGAATGAGAGGACATGAACAACGCTATAGACCAATTGGACCTAGCAGACATAACAGAACACTTCTTCCAACAAACAGCAGAATACGTATTTTTTCTTGAGGGCACAAGAAAGATTCTCTAGGATAGACCATATATTAGGCCACAAAATAAGTCTTAATAAACTTTAAAAGATTGAAATCATGCAAAATATACTTTTGATTACAAGTGAATGAAACTAGATAGGAATAACAGAAATAAAACTGAGAAATCTATCCATATATGGAAATTAGGGGGGGGGGGAAACCACTGTTAAGCAACCAGTAGGTCAAATAAGAAATAACAAGGGAAATTAGAAAAGATCTTGAGACAAGTGAAAATGAAAATATAATGTTAAAACTTAAGGAATACAGTGAAAGCTGTGCTTAAATGCTTACATTAAAAAAGAAGCAAGCTGGGAGAGCGATGTTAGCATCATGGCAGAGTGAGCGCTTCCCTTAGACTCTGCCCCAAGATACAATGAAAAGGACAGTTATAAACCAAGAGAGGATATTCACACAACACAGTAGTCATCTGAGAGATCCACACAGCCATACATCTGAAGGTGGAGGTGCTGGACCCCCCAGGAGGCAGTGGAAGGAGATAAGGGGATCTCCTCTTCCTTCCTGAACAGCAGCAATCTAGATCATGGGATGGTGCATGCCTCTGAGAGGAGAGGGGGAGGGCACAGCCCTCCACAGGAATGCCTTTGCTCTTGGAGTTGCCTCCCAACCCGTGGGAAAGCTCCATACTGAGGAGGCTAAGTAATCACAGGGGCCTCTTCATCAAGTGGAGCAGTCCAGGAGGGCAGACAGCAAGTGCAGAGTGGGAGCACCCCCAGGATCACTCACGTGAAAGAAAGTGCCCCTCCCTC